CGCATTGAATCTGCACCTTTAACACTACAAGCTTAGAGCATGAAAGCGTGTTAATACTTCGCGATCCGGTCGCCTGGACCGTGCGATCAGATTGCTCGACGAGCCGTGTGAGCGAATGGATTCGGGAACTCAGACAACTAAGGCACTGTATGAATGGGGCCCAGTCTGAATCCTGCCTTTGCGGCGGTCCAGCGATTGACGATGGAGAGCCCTCGGTCGTGGTCGCGCTATCAAAGCGACCGAAGCGCGTACGCTAAGTATGATCGCGCTCTGAACATACTTGGCGATTAGGCCGCTAGAATCGCAAAAGCGGTTTCCTTCTCGTTAACTATACGAACCTGATTTATATGGTTAATGTGATCAGCCATCAGTTCTGATGGCTGTGCCTCAAATCCTTCGTAAGTGTCGCCTCCTCTCAAAACGATTCGATCTGGCACATTCATCATCTGCATGAGCCGTTCCCGTTGGGGAATACTCTGATGCTAAAAATTGGAAAACGATAGACTGAAATCGGCAAATTCCATTGTGACCTTCTCACCTCAAAACCAACATTTTTCAGTGGTTCACCGGTAACCGAAATATGCTCTGGCACAATCATTGGCCTGAAACGTACTCGAGTTGGATAGCATATCTCCATTAGTTCACAACTCAAAATAAAGCAGAACAGTGCAACTGGATGACCGAATCCCGAAATATCGAGAAAAAACCGAAACTTCATCCGAAACTATGAAATATTTCATATTTCCCGCAAGCTACAAAGAAAGAAAGGAGAAAAGCACAGACAAAGCAGCGAACAAAACCAACATCTTCTCGGTTATTTCGGAATCCTATTACAAGCCTTGAGACTAGCTTTAGAATTAGAAATTCAACGCCACTGAAATACATACACAAACTGCTCCATGAAATTATGCAATACTGGGCGTCAGGTATAGGGCATTCGGTTGGCGAAAGCGCACTACATCATAAACAACGCGCATTTCTTCTCTTCTTCTTCGTTTCCTCGTCTGCTTCTTACTTTCTTTCTTCTCGTTGCGGTTCTTAGCGTTGTCATCTGAACTGGATGATCGTCAATTGAGTGAAGTCACCTGGATGAACCAAAAGATAGCCGGATTGCTTGGTGCTTTGAATTACGTTTGTTGTGAAGGAAGCTTAGGGTTTCGAGTTGTATTTCTTGGCAACGTGACTTTTCTTGGCAACGTGACACGCACCCGTATTTCTTCCTCAAAGCTGTTCCCAACTCTTCTTATGGAATTATGACATTAGGCATTAGTTATCGAAATAGCATGCAGTCCGAACCCCAAAGATGAGAAGGCGTGGCTGCGTACTTAATCCACTTGTGGTGTAGCTGGGCACCATTCTATTGAACTGCTTTCGTTTTGGGACAACAGTAAACATGTATTTCTTGGCACAAGAAAAATTGGCAGAAGATAGTTTTTTTGAAAGGAAGTATTCTA